CCTCTCCTTGTCGTAAGGTGAAGATGCATTGCTTCTCTGAGGAAATGCCTGGCCTCTGTTTTCCTCAATGTAATACCTGCAGCTTTTCCCCAGAATCATGGGTTTGTGTGAGCTCTATCCCTAAACTGAGGGACAAACACACCAGCACTCTTGGAAACAGAGAATTCCATGCTGGCTCAGAGAACCATAGCCAGGGTCTTCTCCTTGCTCAGGTCAGGTTCTCTGGCTCCTATCTATGCCCACCTCCACCCCTGACTGGGGCACATTTCCTTCTAGTGTCACAACAGAGGGATGCCCTCTGCTTGAGGCCTTGTCTGAGGCCACCTGACCCCAAGCGGTGGAGTGGTTGGGAACATCCAGTCCAACCTCCCAGCAGATACGTTCAGATCACTTGACAGATGATCTAGTGTGTGTGCTAGGGAAGGCTTCTGAAGGGAACAGGGCACCTCCGTAAGATGAAGTCGGGAGGGCAATGACCTCCAGGCCTGTGCTCCCCAAGAATACCAGACCACTCCCCCAGGCAAGAATGAAAGTGTAAATGGCAAAGGAGAGATGAATTCTTCCCAATCTGAGACCTACCCAGGGCTCAGTCCGCTAAACCCCAGATCCCCCAGCCCAGTTTGGCCTTCAGCACTTTCTCCACCCTTTCCCAGGGCCCTGAGCACTGGGGCCACCTATCTGCTCCCACTTCCCATATGGAGTGAGGGTCCTGGCGGTCAGGGACCAGACAGAAAGGTATGTACCAAGATCAGGCTGTGAGCAGCCCCCAGGAGCCAAAAGCACACACACTCAGAGCCAGCTGGACCACTTCTTGGTCTTGGGGCAAACACACAGGCCAGGAAACATTTCCAAAGTCCTTTATTGGGCTGCAAGGCCGGGAGCTGCCCTTAGATTAGGGTCCCATTCCAGAGGCTTGAGGTCCATGCCCATTTCCGACTGGGGAGACAGCCTCCTCTGATAGGCTACTTGATTCGTTCCTTCAGGTATTCCCAGCCCTCCTTGGTGTATTCACAGGCCTTGGAAGGGGCCACCGACAGGGCCGACATCACTGTCATGATGCCTGTGGGGAGGGAAGAAGGGCCCAATGCCTGGTCAGGCTCCCCACCTGCAGCTAAAGGGTTTAATCCAACCCCTTGGGACACTCAACTCAGCCATGCTCCTAGAGGTGCCACTTTCAACTTTGTCAATTCCACACCAGGAAACTGACACAGAGAAGGGACAGGACCTCACCTTGTCAGAGGCCACCTGACCCTGACGTGCTCCAGTGGTGGCCCAAGCTCTCAAAAAGAGGCTCCATCTTGCTCCTACCTCTCTGGAACCTCCACCCCTTCTCTTTCAGATGTAGGAGAGGCGCACACAGCAGGAAGGGGAGTGATGAAAGCCATGACCAAGAAGCAGGGTAAGGGGTGCTAGACTAGGGTACGTGGGGCCACACCCCCAAGCAGAGGGACCAGGGCCTACCTGAATTCCAGGACTCACGGATGTGAAAGTTAAACTTTGGAGGGGCTGGGAGCTGGGAAGAGACAGGGGAGAAAGGGCTGATGAGAGGGGAAGGGCTTGGCAGCCCCAACTCCCTCCCGAGGTGGGGAAAGCAGCCCATGCCCCAGTGTGGAGGACACCAAACAAGGTTGGAGGGACCAGAGACTGAAGGCCACCCCAAAGTTGGTTCCCATCAAGCTTCAGCCTCACTCCCAGCATGGGGTACCTGGGGTATCTTCAGGCCCGTCTGCTCACACACGTACTGGCTGAACTGGTACATGGCAGGGGGGACAACCTCCTCCGCCCTCTGAAGGGCTGCCTGGCTCTTGTTGCTGGACCCCAGCAGCTCCTGGTCATACACCAGGTAGACCACTCCCCCAGCCACACTCCCCTTGATGAGAAACCTGAATGCAGGGAAGGGAACAACAGCAGCTTAGGGAACACTGCAGGCCACACATGGGATGTGTGTGTGTGTGTGTGTGTGTGTGGTGGGGAGGGTGGGGAGGACTCTAGACCTATGGGATTAGTAATTAGATCCCCTCTAGGGAGTCCCACAATCCAAAATACTTGAAGCCAGGAAGCTAATAGGGAAGTGACTGGGCACCTTGCTAGCTCAGAGGCATGCTTGACCCGTACTAGGCACAGTATTCCATTTACAATGTGCAAAGCAGTACTCCGCCCCATTCAACTTATAAACTGAGGCCCGCAAAAGGACAGTGGATCACTAATGATTCCGCACAGAGCAGGGAACAGTGAAGACATAAGTCCTTTGACTTTCTGCCTTCTGCCCGAGGGACCCTCCGTAAGGGTTTTCCAAGTGTATCTGGTAGCTTCCTGTATGTCCAGCGCCGCTGTGGGTGCGCATTCATCGCCTAATAAATGGCGTGCGGCACACCCACTTTACAGAGAAGGCAACTGAGACTCGGAGAGACGCTGTATTCCGAGAATACGAAAGCAAGGGCTCGCGCGACCTCGGGAATCACCTCTCCGCTGGAAACTCAGTTTCCCCAAGTGGGCCATAGGGCACCTGACACTACGGGAAACGAGGAGCAGGTGGGGAGCAAACCAGAGGAGTGTTCCGCAGGGAGGACTTTCTCAGGAGCTCGGGGACCCCCCGCCCGCCACACGCACCTCATCATCGACCACACTGGGGACACCATAGCCGCTGGACTCCGCGCGCAAGGACAGTCGGCTCGCCCGTCGCTTCCGTTAGCGAAGCGGCAGGGGTGGCCTCTGGGAAGTGTAGTTTCCCTTGTCAGCCGCAAAGACCTTCGGGAGTCGGAGTCTGCTTACCAAAAGTGTGCGGCGTAATCACATGGGCCGGGCCGCCGCAAAGCTGCCTGGGAAATGTATTCGGCGCTGCCTTGTGAGACGCCGGATGATTTGCTAGCCGCCAAGTCTCCTGGGAAATGTAGTCCTGTCTCTGTGGCGTGAATGAAAAGGGAGTAGGATGTCTGGAGTGAGGCCTGAGGGTGACTCAAGAAGAGGTCGGAGCCCGGGAGGTCCAACGGCGCCTGCGCGGGTGACTCAGGATAAGGGCCTAAGAAGAGTGTCCCTAGAAGCCAGTTGTCACGGCAACACGAGGGCGGAATTATTCGAGAGAAGCGGGACTAGGTCACGTGAGCGGTTTCGAACGGTGGGGAGTGTTTTCCTTCTGGAGGTTGAGCTAGGGCTTTGGCTGGGATCAAAAGAGCCAGCCGGGAGGCCGTTGCCTGGCAACGCGGGCATCGCAGAGTCCTCGCGGCTTGGCGTCTTCTTGCGAAGAGGCAGGGTTAGTCACGTGACACGGGCCCTACGGGAGGGGCGTGGTCAGGGGCCGCTGGCTGTGAACGGTCTACTCTACTGACATGCGCTTGGCTCCGGCGCAGCCTGCCCCCGGCCCCGTGCACGGCGGAAGAAACAGGCTCCAGAGGGTTAGTGAGCGGTTGGGAGCTTGGAGCGGGTGGCACGCCCTTTTAAAAATATATATATATATTTTATTGATTTTTTTACAGAGAGGAAGAGGAGGATAGAGAGAAACATCGATGAGAGAGAATCATCGATCAGCTGCCTCCTGCACACCCCCTACTGGGGATGTGCCCGCAACCAAGGTACATGGCCCTTGACCGGAATCGAACCTGGGACCTTCAGTACGCAAGCCGACGCTCTATCCACTGAGCCAAACCGGTTTCGGCCGCTCGCCCTTTTTGTACAACGGGAAAACTGAGGCCCAGCGAGGTCAGAGGTCCAGTGGATTCTGCAGGGATCCGGTTCCCTCCACCCCCATCTCAGCCCAGGTGCTTCGTCCATCCATCCATCCATCCTTCGGTGGGAAGTGGGTTGAGCTGAAGGGTTCATGCCTTTCCCTGGAAGGGAAGGAGGTGGGAGCGCGTTCCCTGCTGCGAGAATTGCTGGTGTGACTCGGAAAGGCGACAAGTTCACTTGTCCCAGAACTGGCTCATAGGCAGGAGTTGGAGAAGATGGGAATGGACAGGGGGGCAGAGGCCAGGCCCCCTGGGCCTTATGGGCATGTGAGGAGCCTGGTCTCCATCTGGAGCAGTGGCAAGCCCTTGGGAGGGTTTAGAGCAGGAAGGGGCACACTAGACTTCTTTTGACACATCATTCTGGCTGCTTGGCCAGAACAGGGTGGGAGGAGCGGAGTGTAAAGATGGGGGAGGAGGGGAGGCTGCCGGAGCTTTGTTGTGGGGCAAAGGACATAGGGCTGGATCTATTATAGCCATCGGGGATATAGGAACTCCCAATCGCACCAGCTTTCAGCATCCTGGGTCCTAGAAGTCCCCTCTCCTCTTTGCCCCAAGATGTGATGAACCTGTGCCCTTTTCAAAGGAAACCTGTGACTCCCAAACTTTAAGCAGCCATTTCCCTCGGCCAAGTAAATCGTCCTATAGCTTAACTCTCATATCTTAACTCTCATGACATGGGGACCTGCTCACTCCTCCTGGGTATCTCCAGAGTGGTCTCGGCCAGCTCTTGCCTCCCGCATTCCTGTGTTAATCTAGTATCTATTGAGCACCTGCTGTGCTCTTGACACAGTTTGGGGCACTGAAATCCTAACAGTGGGGGAGAGTGGGGAACAAAAAAGAAAGTAGGTTTCTGTTTTCTTCCTGCCCTTGAGTGCTTGACAGTCTAGAAGTGAATGACAGTGAACTTGGAACAAATCATCAAGGTGACTTCAGGTGATGTTACGTGCTGAGAAGGAGATAGAAATTGTAGAGGTAAGAGAGTAAGGGACGTGCTTCAGAAAAAAGAGGCCCAGGAAGTGCTCAGGGAAGAAGTAATTTTTATGCGGAGACTTGAAAGAAGCAAAAGCAAGCCATTGGGTTATCTGCCTGGAGCAATTAAGAGGGAACAGCCAGCCGAGACCGGTTTGGCTCAGTGGATAGAGTGTCAGCCTGCGGACTGAAAGGTCCCAGGTTCGATTCTGGTCAGGGGCATGTACCTTGGTTGCAGGCACATCCCTGGTGGGAGGTGTGCAGGAGGCAGCTGATCGATGTTTCTCTCCCATCAATGTTTCTAACTCTATCCCTCTCTCTTCCTCTCTGTAAAGAATCAATAAAATATATTTTTTTAAAAAGAGGGAACAGCCAGTGCAAAGGCCCTGAGGCAGATGGTGACTGGCTGGTTCTCAGGAACAGCAAAGAGGCTGGTGTGTCAAAAAGCAGAGTGAGCAAGAGGCTGGTGCGTGAAGGGCCTTTTCGGTCATCGAGGAGTGTGTGTGACTTTTGTCCTGAATAAATCTGGGAGAGTTTTCAGCAGAGGGAGGCAAGATGTGCTGCCGCTGTTGCCTGGAAGGAGAAAGTCCCAAAGACTGGGAGAGTGGTTCCGGTGGCCCGGATGGTGGCCTGGGCCACGTGGTGGCGGTTGTGATGGAGAAGAGGCGCAAGTCTAGGGGCCAAGCTGATCTTCAGACGAAGGAGCAGTTGGGGAGACAGGTGTGGCTCTGGCCCAGGACCATGCTGACCATCTTCTCTCTCACTGCAGACCCAGGGCGGGCCATGCAGGCCCTCCTCCTCACTGGGCTGGGACCTCTATTTTTGGGCTGACAACTTTGGCCCAGGTGAGTGCCAGAGGTGGGCCAGGGGGAAATCCGGCCAGCTGCCCTGTGCACACCGGAGGCTGACCACCCCTGCTCGGTACCAGCTGGCCTCCAGGGAGCCCGTGTGCTGCTGACAGGAGCCAGTGTGCTGCTGACAGGAGCCAGTGCTGGCGTTGGGGAGGAACTGGCATGTCACTCTGCCTGCCTGGGCTCCCCCCTGGTGCTCACTGCCCGCCTGGAGGCTTTCCCGCAGAAGGTGAGACACCCATTTCCAGTGTAATGGGGGGGGAGGGGGGGTGCGAGGGGGGTGGAAAAGGGAGCCTGGGTTTGAATCTCTGCAAAGATCCCAGGCTTCCCATGTGACCTTGGGCAAGTTGCTTAACCTCTGTGAGCCTTCATTTTCTCATTTGCAAAACGAAAAGCAAAGTACTCCTTGCGGGCTGTGGCATTGGGAGGATGAGTAAGACAGTGAGTGTAAACCGGGAGTGTTCCTCAGTAAGTGGCAGTATGGGTCCTGCCTTTGGGCTGTGATGATTGGGATCCCAAACTGAAAAGGGGGGTAGGTGGACTTTTCTTAGCAACAGAACGTTCTGAGCAAACGCACAGCTCTTGGACACAAACCTTCCAGAATTTCAAGGCGAGGGGCGGGGGGGTTGGGGAGAGCAGAAACCTTGAGATTTATCTGATATCCCCTGAGTTTTAAATCGTGATGATTGACCAAATGAAACAGATGCCAGTTTAGGGCCCCAGTGGTAACTGAACAGGAGGCTCAGAGTAGGGGAGGGGGCTTCAGGATGGGGCCCCAATGCGCCTGGCAGCTAGAGGGAGCCTACAGGGTAGAGGGGCCCCGGGCAGCTCTGGCCCCCCAGGTGGTAGGGGACTGCCGGACACTGGGCGCTGGGCGTTCCCAAGGTCGTCTTCGTCGCTGCGGACGTGGCCTCCCCGAGGTGCCCCCAGCGCGTGGTGCGGTTTGCGCTGGACAAGGTGGGTGGGGGGCGGCCCAGAGTCTGGGACCTCGGCCAGGGGTCTTCAAACTATGGCCCGCGGGCCACATGCGGCCGGCAGAGGAGTCTGATCCGGCCCGCCAGGTTTTTTGGGCAGTGAGCGCAGCCGAGGTGTTACAGTAGGAATTAGTAGTTCATGTAGTCCGGCCCTCCAGCTCTCTGAGGGACCGTGATCTGGCCCCCACTTTAAAAAGTTTGAGGACCCCTGGTAGACTTAGGGGCAGGACCCCAATTGGCGCAGGGGAAGGGAGGTGGTGGGTGGGGGAGGAGGAAGAAATGTATAAGGTTCCCGGGGCATCACTAGGGGTGGAGCCTCATTGCATCCAGGGAGCTCCATTGGATGAGGGACGTGGCCTGTGGCCTGTCGGGATCCGGGAGTAGGGCTGGGTCTCTAATTGGGGAGAAGGGGCTCTAAGGAGGGCGGAACTCACGGACGCTCTGGGTAAGTTTGAGAGTCTAAGGGGCGGGGCTAGAGAGGAGTCCAGGGGGTGGAGCCTCAAGGACTAGCTCCTAGCTTCTCCTGCACAGGCCGCTGGACTCCCTGGTGCTGAACCACCTGGGTGCTGCCCCAGCAGGCCCACGGGCCCTCAGTGCCCACGGAGCTAGTGGGCTCATGCAGGTGCCCCGCCCCTTCTCCACCCTGCCTCCCAGCCCCCCGGGCGGTGCTCCATCCCTCCTATCCCCGGGTCCCACCTCTAAATTTGCTAGATTTCATCCCCGTTTTTCGACTGTGGCTCCTCACACTGCTGGCACTCCAGCCCTTTTTTCCCAGGCTCCATCCTCTTCCCCATCCCTCTTTGGGCTCCGGCCCCAGCCCCTGCCCTCCTGCTTCTAGGCTCCACTTCTCCAGGGCGTGGCTCCGCCCGGGTCCTAGTTCCAGCCCAGCCCTAACCAGCCCTTCCCCAGGTTTATAGGTTCCGCCCCCTGCCTCCACCTTCTGGGCCTGCCACGCCTCCAGGTGAACTTCCTGAGTTTCATGCAACTGACTGCCCAGTCTGACGGACAGCAAGGGCTCCCTGGTGATGCGGGGCGGGGAAGCCACAGGCCGATGCAGGAGAGCCTGGATGGGGCTAGCAGGTTACCTCGAGGCGGGGGAGAGCAGTGTGTGACAGCTCAGCTGCTACCCTCCTGCACCCCCAGGCCGTGTGCCCACGTCCTTCTCCAGCCCCTATTCTGCGGCCAAGTTCGCACTGGACAGTTCTCCGGCCCCTGCAGCGGGAGCTGGTTGTGCAGGATGTGGATGTGCTGTCACCATATGCGTCCTGGGCCTCCAGGATCGCGCCTCAGCTAAGGAGGGAGACAGGTAAGACCAGGGGCAGGAACCGGAGGTTGTGGGGGGCCACCCAGCCCCAGCGACAGTCCACACCAAGCACTGCTGTCCCCAGGGGTGTCACAAGGACCAAGGCAGCCCTGGTTGTGATTCGGGGCGGTGCCATGCAGGACTCCCTGGGCTTCCATGTACTCTGTCTTCTTCGGGCCTGGCAGCCTCACCCAAGGGCTGCCTCACCCAAGGGCCTGGTTCATCCGCCAGGAGCTCAATGTCACTGCCGCTGCTGCTGCCTGAGCTCCTTCATCTTCTCCGAGAGGACCCTCATCCAGCCATCCTGGAGGTGGGACACAGCGACACCTTTGAGAGGGTGGCCATGACCCAAGATATCATCATCAATACAGGAAGGGAAAATCGAAAAACTGATTAGCACCTGGAAACAATGAAATCTCTGGATGTGAGAGCAGTGTCTGTGTGCCGTGCCTTGTCGGAGCCTAGAAGGCATTAACTCAGTCTTCTCTTTCGTCACTGTTGACGTGATTGCTGCTTCTATTTCGCTGATGGGGAAACTAAGACTAGAGAGGTAATGTGGAAAGCCAGCCCTCGGGCTCCCTTGGATCCTTCTGTCCCCCACGTGGAACCACCTGATTTGTTCTTTCCACTCACTCCTTGCCCTAAGTAAAGGAGAGCCCCCAAACCATCTACCCAATGGCAGGGTCCAAGGAGGGGAGAAGGAAAAGAATATGTTTTGCTCTGTATCCAGTCTCCCTTTTCATAATAAAAGTCCTTTTCCCCTTGCACATCTGTTGTTCAAATTTCTTGGTCCTTTCAGCAAGCAGGGAAGAGCTCTCAGCCCCATTTCACAGGTGGAGAAACGGGCAGGGAGAGAGGTGGGCTCACCCAGCACGTCTGGGGCAGAAGGAAGGATACTGATTGTGGACCAAAGGTATTATTTGCCGCACAAAATACCTGGTTTGTGCATGGATAATACCAATGTGCATCAAGGATTACACACTTGACATTAGGATTGAAAGAGAAAAAACAGAAAAAATTTTTGATCTTTTTTTTATTATTGTTATTTTTTACAGAGAGGGATAGAGAAAAACATCGATCAGCTGACTCCTGCATGCCCCCTACTGGGGATGTGGCCGCAACCAAGGTACCTGCCCTTGACCAGGATCAAACCTGGGACCTTTCAGTCTGCAGGCCAACACTCATCCACTGAGCCAAACCGGTAAGGGCTATTTTTGTTCTTATACTTCTCATTTCTGCATCACCTAAAATAAAATCGATTCACAGTAAATGCCACCAATGGGCACTATACACATCGCCTTCCTTACCCCTAACTCATAGGTTGGCCTCATAAAATGCCTCCGTTTATGGAAGTTTTATTTTGCGTCAGGTACCATTACATCTGTTCAAAGAGTTTGGAATATGTCCTATTGCCCTTATTTTATAAATAGAGAAATTCAGATATTAAGATTGAAGTCCCTGGCGCCAGCTAGCGGCTGAGATGGGATTTCACCCAGCAGAGGTGAGATTAGGGAGGCACCATAGCCATAAGCATGCCCACTAATTCCGACCCCTCGCTAGGGCCGGCTGTGGTATGAGCATGCTTACGAGACCGCAGGAAATCCTCCAGCCGCCAGGGGGCGCTCACAGCATCCCTGCTTCTCTGGCCCGCGCAACTCGTGAGGAATAGATATCCCAGAGTTCCGCGCTGCGGCAGCCCTTCCGCCGCGGCAGCCATTGAGGAGGGCAGCAGGTTAGTTCATCTCGGCGCTGGTGGGATCCACCGCCATCCGTGCCCCAGGGTCTCCGGTGCGGTTTTGGGTAATGGCTGGGTGTAGCGAACGACCGCGAGGGGGCCGGGACGCTGCGTTCTGTGCAGCAGTGGCCGAGCCGGGACTTACCTCTCCCCCCTCTCTCCACTCTTGTCCGCAGCCATGGCTCTGCGCTACCCCATGGCCGTGGGCCTCAACAAGGGCCACAAGGTGACCAAGAACGTGAGCAAGCCGAGGCACAGCCGCCGCCGCGGGGTGAGTTCCGAGTCGCGAGGTGGGAAGGGCTTTCCGGGGGGAGGGCACGGCCAGGGCTCGGGCTCCAGGCTACCGAGAGTAGTGGGGAGCCCTGCGGTGGGCTGAGCGGCAGAACGTGGGTGCCGGGCCGGCCAGAGCAGTGAGTGAAATATCTAATGTCTGCCCGGCGAACGCCCAGCCGGGCCGTACACCACCACCTCCCGCCCGCGGGATGGAAGCAGGGGCAGGTGGAGCGAATTTGACATAAACAGTTTGCCCACTAGAATAGGCTTCGGGTGGAGGTTGGCCAGCTGACTCTTTTGAGTATCAGTTTGAGGCGGTTCAGGCAAGTCAGGATTTATGGGCCTCTGACTACCTAAGAAACGCCCACACCTGTAGAGAATTTTCATGAGTTTATTTGAGCCAAACGGACAGTTATAAAATTTTCCTAGAGGTTAACAGTTCTGCAGCTTCTTAATGCAGTTGAAATTAGGAGGGAATTTAAGGAATAAAGCAAGGCGGGGATTGGATTGCAGGATGGTTAAGGTTATGTGCTCTTGAGGGTGGTCACACCCTCGAGGGGTATTTATCATCATCAAAGATGTTAACCTAGATGGCAAGGAACAGTGGGCAGAGTTTGCTTGAAAACCTTTTACCATAGCAGTTACAGGCCTGGAGCCTGACTACCCACAAAGACTTTGCTGAGCAAGACTTGGGTTTGTTACAGGACCCCCTATTTATCCACTTTATTAAGTAGCCCCAATTCTGCATGGCAGCCTGTGTCGATGAGAAGAGATTCCTGGTCCAGCCACAGCCTGTGGAAGGGACCAGGCATGACTTGCTGTGTTGCTATTGGGATGGGGAGGTTTCCTGCTCCCCGTTGTACCAGACAGAATACTCCCGCCCAGATGGTGGAGGCCAGACATGGCCCTAAGGGTCTGGGTTTGGAGCTCTTCATCCTGATGGCCTCCCTTCACCCCGCAGCGCCTCACCAAGCACACCAAGTTCGTTCGGGACATGATCCGAGAGGTGTGTGGCTTTGCCCCCTACGAGCGTCGTGCCATGGAGCTGCTCAAGGTCTCTAAGGACAAGAGGGCCCTGAAATTTATCAAGAAAAGGGTAGGTGGGCAGTTGATGGGGTGGGATTGGGTGGGAAGCATTTGGCCTCTTGCCAGGCAGGTGGAAACACAGCTGTGCCCAGAGGGTGGGATGGGGCCCAGGCTGATGGCCCGCTTTGCTTGCAGGTGGGGACACACATTCGCGCCAAGAGGAAGAGAGAGGAGCTGAGCAATGTCCTTGCAGCCATGAGGAAGGCAGCAGCCAAGAAGGACTGAGCCCCACCCCATCTGTATAATAAAACCTGTTCAGAAACCTTGGGCTCCTGTGCTGGCATTACAGCTGGTCCATATGGTAGACACAGAAAGAAGACACAGGTAGTACTAGAAATGGTCTTTAATCATAATTAAATAGTTCATATATGCCAGATTCCGTGATTAAGTTGTAATTGAGGTCCTTGGGTTCCGGGCCACTTGCTGAGTCCTGGTGGGTCAACTGCCCAGAGCCCCTTCCCCCCAGTGCAGTTTCCGCTCAGAATGGGCCTATCGGCACCAGCAGTGCCTTGGCCACCATCACCGCTCCACAGCCAGGGCCTCCGCCTGCTCCTTGGGGAAGGCGATGTCAAAGATCTCACAATAGTGCTCCACAAAGTGGACCTCCAGGCCTTCAGTGATGAAATCTGCTAGATCACAGAAGTCCTTCTTGTTTTCTGCTGGCAGGATGATGCATGTCACTCCAGCACGCTTGGCCTAGGGTGGGTTAATTATGGGTTAG